GAAGTGATAGTGATTCTCCTAAATTTACCCCTGGTAATCAGAAAGTACAAACCAGCCACACATCACAGAGTTATGAGTTAATACTGCAACAGGGCAAGACACCAAGCTGACACAGGAAATATCATCATGTGTCTTAGAAACAGTAGTGGGCACGAGAGGAATACCTCAGCCTTGCAGGCTTGACTTCATTTAGCACATCTGTCCTTTCCAATTCACAGTCCAGAACCTGTACATTAAAACTACAACTGAATTAACACCTGCAGGTGTTACATCAGAAAATGGAAATTTGCTTCCTTGAGCTTATTACATTTAATCCATCAAGTAATATTTTTAATGTTGCTTTTTTCTTATGTTCATTCATTTGCTAGATATGTATTTTAATGCACACAATTTTAAAACAACAAGAGATTCTGTGTATTTTAAACTATTATAGGAATAGTTTGTGATTTAAAGGACAGTTTCAAAATCAATTTCTGCACACTACACATACAAAAAGGTTAGTATTCTGGATTCAACTTTTTTAATTTCTAACTTTTTAAAAGTCAGCTAACTGACTAGGGGAAAAAAAACTTCAACAGATGTAAACAACAGAATGCATCCGTTTAGGTGTGATGGTGAATAACTGGAAAAGTAAAGCATGAAGTAACTGCAAGAGACCAGATTGCTCTGACCTAACAAAAAATATTTAAGGGAATATTTTAAAATACATCAACCACAAAATACAGTAAGAAGAAACAAATGTGTCATGCACTCTATCAATCATACTCATTGCCATAGTGTATAAGCAATTCTAAGAAAATTATATTAATGGCAAGATACCTTTTCCTCCCCAGCTGATAGCTCAATTACAGACCTATACAGAGAACCAGAAAGCTCTAATAGAGCTTTTTCATGTCTATCTAATAGATACAGATGAAAAATGTACTAGCATCACTCAATCTTCCACTTTCCATGTACTCTTGAAGTTCTTCATAAAGCTCAGCATGTTCAGATATAAAAAACTCAGAGATGACCTCGTATTAAACTGGGGTTAAGTGCCTTAATGAAAACCAAAGCCACTTCAGACCCTGTACCTGGAGATCAGGTCAGCTTTGAGTGGCCTGTACCACCTTTGAAGCACAGATTCGACCCACCAAGTAGCTGGTGAACCTTATGCCATCAGCACCTAATTTTCATTTCCTTTTTCAAGAGTGTATGAGGGTGTGTCAGTTGCAGCACCTTCCATAGCATGTAACAGAATATAATGCGTCCTGACAATAATGTCTGAGGTCCCCGCAGGATAAATACAGGCAAATGTATCACAATTTCATCCAAACAGCTGTTACACTGCGCTACAACTGGGTTCCTCATGTCCAGGGAGGGTGCAGCTGCTGCCACCAGGCATGGGAATAAATGAGATGGATCTTCATTTCAGAAAGCTCAAGAATCCATTTATTACCCCCAGGGAGGAGGGGCGGGATGGAGAGGAAAGACCAGGCAAAGGCAGAGTCATGGGGTTTGTATACGGTATCGCAGGGGTGGAGTTAGGGTTCGGGTCAAGGGAGGAGATATTAGCAACACAAAATGGGTAAGATCAAATTCCTGTCTTTTAGGAACAGGGGCACTCCACAAATGGCATTTAGGGGTTTGTCTCTGTAATGAACATTTTAGCAAGCACAACATGGAACAAGTCAAACACTATCTGAGAAAACACTAAAGCTCAGGCAACATGAATGAATAATAGTTTCAATCTTCCTCCCAGGCAATGGCTATTTATACAGATGCACCTCAAATTAAAGCTAGGAAACATGAATATGAGCCCAAGATCTTAGACTTGTCACCCTGAGTGAGCATAAGTAGGTGCTGAAGGCATGGCCGTGGTGTGATGTCCCACCTCTGTGACCATATGTTAGCAAGTGTGAGTTCCCCCTCTCTCATGGAAGTCTACCCCTATGCTTATTTAATCATAAAATGAAAATGTAGTAACTATTTCAGATCATAATGCAAAAAATGTTTATACTTAACATAGATCAGTTCCAAGCTTATTTTGTCCAAAAATCTCCAGAAAATGACTGGAGTATACGTGAAGCAAGTTGGATGGGAAAGACTTAAAAAAAAAAAAAAGGAAAAAAAAGAATCAATGGTATTTGAGCTAATTTCTAAATAAATATTACTTATGGATTAATTGAGATTTTGCTGGTCATACACAAGAGTAAGGAAATGTATTCCTTCTTCTTTTGATTAATAACTTTTTTCTGCATTATTAATTATCACCTTAAATATTAATATTTTCAAGAAATGACATCTCTATTTAAGCTGAGACAGATGCTAAACCTCAAAACTGTATTTTCTTCAGATGGATACAACTTAAAGGATAGAATATTTTAAATTAAATATTATTTATATCTTCCATCACTGTAACTTCAATGCACCTTAACATCTATTCCCAGATTGAGTTCTGCTGAATTTCAGAGATCAATTCAGAAATTCTACACTAACTTGTAGATCTAATTTGTGTCGTTGTCCCATTTTGTACTAGAATTGTTTGTCAATTGTCTTGAAAGAAGTTTGTGTATTAATTAAATACTACTATATTTTTCGTCTGCACTGTATAGAACTCATGCAAAAAAATTTAAAAAAAATCTGTATGAAGTAGAACAGTTCTGATACATTTACCTAATTATAAATAATCAACAGGAATTATACTATACTACAGACAAACTACATAAACCTTTTAATTAAATAACACGTTTTAGCATTAGTTACACAAAGCACTGGAAGTTACAAGACTGCTCTACTGCTTCCCTTCCCTGAACTTAGAGCCCATTTGATTTACAGTAAAACAGATGGGGTTAATAACTACATCAGGATGAATGAGAGTACCTACTCTAGTAAGAAAGAAAGACTACAAAAACAGAATTTATGGCAAACATGTAATCATAGCTGCCTTTTAATTATAAGCACTGGAGGTAGCTCAAAAGGACCATGACTTAGGCTATGGTTTCACAAGTCTCTGGCTGCAGTACCAGACAGACACACAACTGTTTGTGCAGCTGCTCCATGAAGCAGATCAGGGAAAGTATCCAACTTAAACACAGTACAGCAGGAAAAATTACCCAGTTTTAGTTTCCCACTGTACTTCACTAAGAAGCCACAAAAGTGTTTGGGCTACTACAAAGTGCAGAGGATAGCACATACTGCCAAACAGGCAGCAAGGAAGGAACATGAATAACTTAGAAGTTCATACAGAGGCTAAAATTAAATACAGAGAAAAATAAGAAAGAGCTTTAGAAATGCCCATGATGAAAACTGGCACTTAACTGAGAAACTGCCAGACACAGGTATCCCATTCTGTTTGAAGAGAATACTATTGCTTGGCATAAATGTTTCTGATACAAATCAATGAGAATTAAGTGATGTCCAATATACAACTGGTTCACAAGCCTTGGAATAAATTTTATCCTTCTAGTACCACAGATACTTAAAAGATTAGGAGGTGTTCAAGCATAGAATATGAAAATAAAAGCCACGCATTAAAAACTCATACCGACTTTAGTTCAGGAACCAACATTAAATAAGGAAATCAGGATTACATGGCACCCCATAAATCCAATAGAGAGAAGCAGATTCTTAACTGAATCCACTGAACTTCTATTTGCACAAGAAGCACAAAATGCTTAAAGATAATGAATGTGCTTTTTAATACTCAAATTAATAATGGCAACCCAATTCCTACTGAAATCGATGTGACTTGATACCTCATTTGACATTGTCTAACTTCAAGGAGCAACTGAGGCACTGAGGTGGGAGATCAAGAAGCAGGCTAATTTTCCTCTGCAAGTACCTTTCTCCCACTGTTGACTACAAAAGAACTCAGGAAAACTAGGTTCCTAACTTAGTTGTTCAAATTACGTGGAACAAAAACAGATTTTGGTATATTTGTGTATTTAACCTAGCTGCTCAAATGCACTTCACTTAAGTACAGACAGAAGGAGTCTCATAGCTCTAGGCTTTTTCTCTTGCTAATAAAGATACCTCCATGAGTCATGACTGGTGCATGTCATGTCCCTCCTCTCGACAGCCTACACTGAGGGCTAAACTGCCCAATTTAGGTTCAAACTTTCAGCAGACTTTCTAAAACTAAGTATGAGCAAACAACAGTAAGAAATAGGTACCTTTCAATGGCAAATTCAGGTGCTGTGTCTTGGCAAAGTCTTTCAGCAGATCCTCAACAGATGAATTAATTATCTCAGTGACTTCACCACCCAGCTGTCTTAACTCAAAGCCAAATCAGCATGCTATGAAACTGATCTCCCCGAGTTGTACTTTTCACTCGCCACCTCTCAGATGAAAAATATAAATCCTGAACTTCAAGGTCTTCACACAGTCAGTGTGTGAATGGGAGAGTAGGAAAAACACCTATCCTTTCTTTAAGAATCTGTCAAAAAAAAAAAATATAACCTGAACACATTAGTATATGTTGCAAAACATCTTGATTTTACTCTACCAGAAAATATAACATAAATCAAAAATTGATGAATTACTGTGCTTGTAGGTTCTGAGCTACAGTATAGAAAACATTTAGTTATAAAATGTTTTTTTAAACTACTTTCCTTCAAACTGATACTGCAGTCATTAAACACAAAGAATTTAAACTTTTGAAGCAAATGTAACCACAATGCTTTTCTTTATTCCCCTGGAAAGAGAAGTATTAGAGTAACTATATATATAAACTATTACATGCAATCCTTCATGGTTATTCTTAAGAGAGCTTTAAGTGAAAATTTTATAAAGAACAGAACACTGGTTTTCACTTTCATGTATTTCTAAGTGTGAAGGAAAGGGTCAAAGGCAAGAGTAGAATTTCTCACAATACTTTCCTTGTGAATAACAGCTGAGAAGTCTGGAAAGCAAACTAATTGCTTAACTTTCACATTATCAACAAAGCTGTCTTTTGACAGCACAGTTAAAATCTCCATCATCTGTTATGTTTGATCAAGTTAGTTTTGACTGAAGTACTCACACGGTCTGAAAAGAGAGCTCTTTATTTTCTTAAAGGGTTTCAGAGACACCTAAGAAAAAGCTGCTTCTTTTGACTTCTAAGACTTTCTGGGAAAGGATGCAAGTAACCGTAAGTACCACCATCAGAAGAATCTAAATTATTAAACAAATGGTGTCTAGTTAGAAAAAAAGTACATTGAAACAATGATTGTTATCAGGTTATTTTGGGTTTCTGCCACCTTCTCCTATATTATTATGGGAACAGAAGTAAGTTAGAAGGTTTTCTGGAGAAACAACTTAAACTTTGAATTATACATGCTATCTTCAGAATATCTTTCTTACTTCATTTTCCTAGAAGATTAAATAGAGCTTTCTTGATCTTCAGAATTTTCATTTTTAAGTTTTCAGGAAAATGCTGCAATGCTGTTCTCACACTGTATGAGGTTTTACATTTTCAGGTGTGACAATTTAAAAACTATCACTTGTTCTGAATTCTCAGCATAAACAGTGAGAAGATGCCAAGGCTGGACTTCTGTGGCACAGAAGTTACTTTCATGCAAATGAGCCAAGTTAGGGCACTGCTCCTACTGCAGCTGCAGCTTCTAGCTGTACTGTGTTTCACAGAAATTTAAAGCTGGATAATGCAGAGAAGAGGAATCATAATTTCCTAAAAAAAACCCAAACATTTTTTTTTTCTTTAGGTTACATGAGGAGAGTGGTGTCCTCGATTGAGAAGAAGAAAAGAAACTTTCTGGATTCCCTGCAAAAAGTAGTTGATTTATTCTTAATATTGCCTTTGATTTTCACCTTACTTTCTGATACTTACCATCATTTTACGTTGTGATCTTCTCAAGAAAGCACTGTTGGATTTAGTTATGTACTGGACAGGTGAAGGAACTAAGACTGTAAAGTGCTAAAGAAATAAATTAAAAAGACACACCTATTGACCCATTTTCTCTTCTTTCTGCTTAATGTCCTAATTTTATACTTCTCTTATTATTTCTCTAAAGATTGGCTTTTTAGGATTTATCCATCTCAGATTTTGTATTTGGTTTCTTTAATCCACTCCTGTGATGAGTACACAGACATAAGCTAATGCTCAGATATTTTCTGAGAAGATCTTTGACATGGATGATTTAATTATTTTTGTCACTAGTATAAGTGCTTTTGATTGGTTTTATAAGAGGGGTTGAGTTTTAAGAAAATACGCAAAAGGCTTGCACTTTTGTGCATCTTACAAAATCATTTTGACAGTATGCTTCTGTTCCAGTTGCATTAGGAACCATAGTAACCGCAGGGAGGGAAGCTGAGTACCAAAGAAGTATTTCAGCTAGTGAAGCAAACCTGTAGCTAGAAGAAAAACCAGACCTATGATCATGATTTTTTTTCACCCTATTACCTTGTCTATTCGGTATTTTAACTCAAAAAGTGGGGTGTTCCTGAAAAGCAGCAATTTCATTGCAATTTTTAAAATCTTTCCCTAGGCTCTTGTGACTCTTTCTGTAGCAGTGACATTGTCTAGGGTTTCAATATAACTTAGACCCTTACTTTCAGAATATACATATCTCTTATATGCAGTATGTACATAAGATGTAAGCATGTAAGCAAAAAGGAGTAATCATTGGAGTTACTTGACTCCATTTAAAAAAGACATATTTGATCTCATTTCCTTTGAACATGATGGGACTAAATGCCCTGACCTGACATGTAGACACTTCATTGTTAACTTCAACATTCTGAAAGAGTGAACTTGTATCTTTTGCCCCGAATACAGACTTTTACTTTTCTCAAGGTTTTGCAGGACATCCTCTGTGGGATCAGCACCTTGCTGCAGTGTTTGGCCTGGAGGACAGAAATGACACCCTAAGACAGCTAAAACAGCACTAGAGAGATGCCTGTTCTGCAGCTGAATCAAGCCCTTAATCTCATCCCAATGACCTACTGTTCACACCTTGCCTCTGGGAGGGTCACACTGAATTATGCCATTAAACCATTTTGTTCTTAGGCAGTTAACCTTTTTTTCTCTTCATGGTGCCCTTCTAACTTCTCACTATTTCATCTTTCATGCTCTGGGCTAGTTTGTACCACAGTAACAGCACTGAAAGAGGAAGTAAAATCAAAGTTCTTTAAACCAAAGAGGTCATTAATCTGCCTCACAGTAAGGACTAAGTGCAGTGAGTGGAGGAAGAGCTATCTTTAAATCCTAAATTATAATAAGTACTCAAAAAACATTGTCTTTAAAAGAGAACAGCAGGTTTATAATCCCCAGGTGTAAAAAAAAAAAATTATTAAAAAAAGCCAGCTTAATAAACCATTAAATATAAAACAGAATTATTAAATGAATAGCTACATCTTTCCCATGGGAGCAATCACTACAAAAGGTTCCTTAAATATTAGCTTCTACCTAATAACACAATAAAGAAAAAGACCTTGCATAAAACAAATTACAGATTCTAATCCTCTACTCTGAAGGAAACCCTTAAATTAGATAGCTATTTCAATTTATCTTCAAAACAACAATAGTAAGTAATGAAGAATCAAGTCTCTCATGGGACTGATCAAAATTGAATTTGCAGTTTCCTGTACTATGCTGACAATCATTTACAATAAAATCAGAATGAGAAAAGGAAATTGTCTGTGGGACCACTGAGCCAGGTAATAGCTTCAGTATAACATGGTCAAACAGCTGAAATCAAATTAAAATGTACATAGAATTTTAACATGGTTGAACTAGGTCTTACTTTGCTTATAGGATTCTGGCTTACAACTTTTAAGTAACAGATCTGGAGTGAAAAAAACTACTCCTGGTGAAAATCAGGCATTTTACGTTAGCAGCAATCTGTTTAAAATAACATGACATTAAAATTGTGTTAGGGAAAACAAAGAAAATTAGCTTGTAAACTATTTTAGTTTGAAACTGTTATGACATAATGGAAACACAAAGGAAAACCATTTTATAACTTTTACTTTCTAGTCCTTCTCTGTACATCTATAAACATTGTAAATTATAACTACATTATCCCATCTTACAAAACTCAGAAGACCTCATAGGCACAACATAAATAACAAGGAATACTTCAAATATTTAATTATTTTCAGATGCCTAACAATAAATAAATATATTTATATATCCATAATGTGTTTTACACAAGTATGGAACAAGGATTGGTAGGCTGCAGTTTAAAAATAACACATCAACTCAATTTGAAAGAACTTTTCTCAGCAAACCTGGCCCTGCAGAACATATTTGCTATACTTTGCACAAGTTTATTTCCACAAGCAGCCAGACCATGGCTATCACAGTGGAAGCAGTGGAGGGAAATGTCCACTGGAATTTAGACACGAATCTCCTCATTCTTAAGAGAAGTTAGTTAATATTCTCCCAATCAGCAAATAATTCCCTTTTTTAAAAGTCTGGTGACCTTAGAGGAGTCACTGAAAAATGCAATAAAATAGATGAGATTTGGACACTGGAAGTATATCCAGCCCAGAGCTCCTACGTATCTTGAAAAAACTTGTTCTAAACTGTTTCAGGCCCGTGAGTGCAGACTGTATTTATAAATTATACAAATAATTAAAAATACTCACTGGAGCAGTACCCTTGCTTTGTGGCACACAAGTACCCTAACTACCAAACTACAAGGTTAATTTTTCATTTTGCTTCTGTCACAGTGGATATTAATTAGGTATACAGACCAAGACAACTGGAACAGGGAAGAGTTACACACTGCAAAATAAACAGCCCAGAAAAGAGCCAACTCTCCTCAGTAAATTCTGCTGTATTTTTAGGCATTACTGAAAACCCCTATATAAATGGCTACTGTACAGGTACTGAATGGCTAGGCAGCTGATATATTGCACATCTGTAGCATGCTGCATGCTACATTCTGACCTGCAATGCATATGCGTTTCAAATGCACTGAAATAGTGAAAACAAAATGTTCTCTTCCAGAACTCAAGGATCAGCAAATTTCTATCATGGCACTCCTCTAGTCTGCACAGACCTATGTTCAAGCCTTTAATATAAGATGAAATTTGTAGCTTTATTAAAAATGGATATTACTTGTATCAACAGATCTTTTAAGAATCAAAGTACAGCTACTTACACTTGCTCATGACGTGTTTTATATAAGTTTGTTTCATTACCACTGTTAAAATCACTGTCTCCTACTTTGTTACATGACACACATACCTTTCTGCTTAATTCAAGAAAAACAGAAAGTAGATATTCACTTCTTATTTTGCACGTAAGCAAATTGCCCGTGATAAGAGTGAAAAATAGATTTACAATATATCTCTTCTTGCACATTTCTACCTCTCCAGCAGAAGGGAAGCAGTGAGCCACAATAAAAGCAATCACCTCCAAGCAACTGATAGGATGGAAATTCAAGTGTGAGCTTAGTGCTCAATAACCTGCTTTTGCTCCCAAACTTTAATCACAGGCTTGCACTGGCAGATAGGGGGGCTGTAAGATTTCAGAGAGTAGGGGAACTTCTGAGGGCTCTTACTTAGATGTGTAGAACAGACTCACTGGGGCACAGCTTCAGACACACCTCAGTGTAGGTATCTACATGCATGAAATTTAGCTAAGTGTCCGAGCTGTCATTGCAGCTAATGGTGACACTGGGCTCAGCTCAGCTATCTAAGCATAGGTTTCCAGTGACATTTGGCACGTCCTCAGGTCCACAATGACAACCTTCAGTTTTTGTCTCCACAGGAGCAAAATTCTCCTCCCAGGTTTATGTGTACAATACAGTCCTTTTTTGCATATTACCTGACTTAATTATCTCTTTACTATACTTCCACCTACTTCAAGTACAGGTAGAACTTTTTTACAGGAAAGCCAGTCCTTGGTTTTCTACATTTTCTAATAATGCATTTCAATGTTTCATTAATTCTAATTTGAAGCATTTATATCCTCCCTTACTTTTCCTTTCTGCTGTTTTGACACAATGGTTTTATAATTTAAAAAGTCACTTAAAATGCAGTCTGATTTATTCACTCTAGATGTAAATATACCTATCTTTAAAAATTCCATGCAAGACCAGATAACGTCAGGTTTATGTCTGTTGGGAAACCAAACTGGGTTTACCTCTCAAAAGGTAAATGCAGTAATGCAGTAAAACTCTCCTTTGAAATGCAGTACCTGATTCCACTTCTAAGAAGTATGTCAGGTACACAAAGACACAATTTGAAAACTAAAAAAGGTTTAAAATAAAGACTATCTGTACTGTAAAAACTGCACAATTCTTTGAATTTCCCATGTATAATATGTAGTTCATAATAGTAAAGTATCTGTTGAAGTGACAGTGTGCAGATCTGTTAGTTCTATACACTATAGTTCCACTGTAGAACTAATAATGAAAAAAAAATGTATCAAGTTATGAACGAATTCGTGTTCTTTTAATACTGATATATAATATTATAAATTTAAACCCATTCTGCAAGAGTCTTTATGATTGAAGTATCCACCCCATTATGTTAAAGAACTGTGTAATCTTGGAGAGAGGTTAATCAACAAATCCTTTTTGCTAGAGCATAACACCCACAGATTAATCTTAAAACTAGTTAAAACATTCAAATCATTTAGCCTTTCTATGTAAATCACATTTTAAACCTAAGGCCAAGAAAAGTCTGTTGAGTAGTCCAGTCTAACTTTACAACTAATTCTTGGCAACTGTCTTCTTGTCCAGCTTGTTTCTAAGACATAGAATTCCCAAAATTGTTACCCAAAAGCATTTTAATGTTGTCATTGGAAAATATTTGCTAATATCAGGTCGGTATTTTCTATACTGCAGTATGACACCAGTGGGGCTTTATCTACTATAAAGGAGTACAGATAAGCACTTTTCTATGTGTAGTTTTTTCTCTATGTAGATTTCAGAGCATACGTTTTCTCTCTTCTTTCCAATTGGTCTGTGTCTTTCAAGTACACTACC